CTTAAAAGGGTGTGTAAAAAAAGTAGAAAGTCCACTAGATGATTAATAAAAGGGTGTGTAACATTCCTTTTATTTTTAAAAATACGTTTTAGATGAAATTGTATAAATTAAAAAATTACTTAATTAAAAAACTTTTTTTTTGAAATGTTCCAGTGTTTGCACCTTTTCTTTCTTTTAACTGAAATATTTGCGAAAAATTGGATATGTAAATATGAAAGAAAAATGTGTGAAAGATAAATTAATTTTTGTATTAACCATCAAAACATAGTCAATGAATAATTATGGCTAAATTTACTTAATCATTTTATCAATATTTATACGCCACTTATTTGCAGGGCCGTGCCCACCTAACATAATTTGAGACATTGGTCTTAGGACCCTCTTGATACTACAAAATTTTGGGACCCCAAATTTTTTTAAAATGGTAAATTATATATATTTTCCATAGTGATTTTAGTTTGATATTATTATCTACCTAATTTTGAGTTTCAAAATTTCTTCTAACACTATCTTTTGGGGCCCCAAATTTTTTTTTCCGCTTTAGACCTCCTAAACACTAAGAACGAGCTTGCTTATTTGTCCCAAATCGCTGTTTAGACTTATTTTCATTTTCCATATACTCCCAAATTATGATTTATGCATATAGATGTTTTATGCTTAAATGATTTGTTAACGTAGGATGCAAACTTTTAGAATTTGGCTTATCAACCGATGTCATGTAAAACATTTTTGATCCATCGATTGATAGATATTGTGCCTCCAAACTACCCTATATTTTGCATGCTCTCTTGGAATATTAGGTCAAATATAATGGTTACTATTGCTTTTGGAAGTCATGGTAGTTCGTTTCATATTTCTTTAGGAGACTAATTCAAGTGGCAAGATGATTTGTTTTATTTTGTCATTTTTATTGAAAAATACAGCCATTTGTTCCAAAACAAAAAAAAAGGCAAATAAAACCAGAACTGCAATCCTAAGTTTTTAATAACACTTTTCGCATTCCAAAATGCCTCTTGCTTTGTCTTTGGGTTCTCAATCTGTAGCCCAATACGAAGTTTATGACTTGTGAGATAATAATCTCTAGCCCCCCAATACGAAGTCATAATCGTTTATAACCTTTTTTCTCAAGAAATGATCAACAAACCTTAATCCTCATCAAGTTTAGAAAAAGCAAATTAAAAATAATATTGGTAACGTTGTCAACATTTTAAAATTATATGTAAAATATTGGGAGTTTGTGACTTGTGAG